CCATACCTCTTTCTCCCACCCTCAATTATCTTTATTCCATCTTATCCATCCATCCATTCATTGATCCATCACCCAGTCATCCATCTTCTCCATTCATCTTTCCATCAATCCATCCATCCATCCACCCATCCGTCCATCCATCCATCCATCCATCTTCCATCCATTCGTCCATCCATACATTCATTTATTAATTCATTCCTCATATAGTTATATTTTTATCCTACTCTATTTATGATACATTCAGTCAGAAAGCGCTGTTCTTTCCCGTGGGGCATTGTGAACTAGGTATTTCATGGTTCAAAACCCAAGTGCTTACACTGATTAAGCGTGTGGTTTATTTTAGTCCCTATCATCTTATCATGTACATTGCCTGGCTTATTCGTTGGTACTGGAAATACAGCATTAAGAGAGAAGAATATGGGGACGAAGAGAAGGAATATCTAATACGAAGGAATATGGGCATGTCACAGATACAGTGGGATGTAAGTACTGTTCCATGTCTATTTATTTAATAAAGTGTGTGAGTGTTTCGCACTCGTGAACAGACATCCTCATTTGCAGTTAATTCGACTGCATTTCAGTATTGTTAATGGTGTCTTTCTCATTTATTCTTTTCCTTAGGCTTTAGAAAAATCTCAGCACGACGAATTTTTTGATCGTCAGCTTTGGATTACAGAACATTATAAGGTACTGAAGCTTTCATGAAGTGCAAGCCCTTGACATTCAGTGACTGATGTTAATGTCGGGAAACAGTAGAAAGCTAAAGCAAAAGAAAATATATGGCTATATATATTTATGCACTAAAATTGCTCTTAAGAATAATTTTGTGATATTAAGGTTTCTATACTCTGTGTTTTCTCGTGGGTTTTACAATTAAGAAAGATAAAGCTGTGAACAACTATACTGTCCAACCTATGTTATTTTCTCACTAGCGATTTTAGCATAGTAATCCTACACTAAAAAAATCTAAGCTGTCTATTTTACCTACTTACGTATCTCATCTTTTGTTAAAAAGGAATTTAAGGAAGAACAAGAAGAAGAGATGAGGAGGCAGTTAGCTCAAAATAACAAATATAAAGCGTATAGGTAAGTGTGAATAAAACAGTCATCTGCTAATCTATGCTGTGCACATGGGGTCAGCCAGTTACATATATTAAGTACTATGTATTGTGTACTGTGCGGAAGTTTTTTTGTCTCTTTGAGATAAATTCGAGGACAACGAACTTTAGTGACCGCCCTACTTCCAACAGCGATAACCATTTTCTACAAATTTGAAGCCTTCACTCTCTCTTGCCTTCGGCTATTTCCTACACTGACCCTCCTAAATTCTGATCCAACCTGTTTCACTGATGTTGACTGTATTTCACAATACTAAACATTAAAGCCAGGGTAAAAGAGTCCATTGACACACAGGAATTTCATGTACTACACCTATTTTCTTTTCATTGGAGATGTTTTCTTTAGTTTATAAAACAACTATCCAGAATACCTCGCATACTTGAAGGGAACCTACCTACAATGTGTAAAAGAAATCTATTAAGCTTTAGCTGTTGTATCACAGCCTTGGACAATAGCAGCAGAACTGTAGGCTCCAACTAGGTTAAAGCCCAAAGATGGAATTTGAATTTCGAAGTTTGTTTTTAAGGAGGGAGGAAACCCAGAGAAAAACCACACACACACTTACTACTTCTGTTTTCTTTTTGTAGGCGATACATGAAGAAAGGTGGTCCAGGACAGATGACATTCATGGAAGATGACTAAACAAGTCCAATCATTGCCCTATTAATATCATAGGATAATGTTATTTGAATTCTCTATCAATTATAGACCATACATATTTATGTCAATCAAAGCCTTTCAGTTAAAGTAAAAAGAGACCTAGTTACGTCATCGCCGCTATGCTGGTGGTAATGAAGAAATAGCAAACACGCGCGTGCCTCGTGCAGTTATATACCACGTATGGATTTGCAAAACGTAAAAGAAGTGTTACAATTCAACTGCTGTAACCAGGGCCACTTAGACCAGTTAGACAAGAGAACCAAAAAAAATGGAGAATGAAAACAATACATTCCAATTTTAAGTAGTGGAGTCAATCAGACACCTAGACTGCACGAGGATATTGTAATTTGACTCTGATGTTACGTGTTAACGATTAGACAGCCATCGTCATTTTCTCGTGGAAATAGACAGATATGTTGAAAGACTATAGTTTTCTTCTTTTTTCTGGCTGGCTAAATATTACCCCCAATACCCAAAGTTGGAATGTATTGTTTTCATTCTACAATTTGATTGGTTCTAAACAGTCTATTAAAGTGGTCGCGATTATAGTAGTCGCTCTGTAAGCGAATCATAAGCCTCTATATCTTTATACCAGCACGACTACAGCATAGCAAAACGCACATGTAAACAACCAATCAGATTACAGGCGAGGTTTATTACGGATAGTTTACAGTAAAACAGTAGATTTTCCTCACTAGCCTTCTTTCTTTACACAACCATCGTTGCTACCGTGTTCTTTGTCTTAAACCATCAACGACTAATGTACCTTTGTCAATCACTACACACTTGGACTGGACATTTTCTTCGCATAAACTAATTAAAATGCTTTTGGCCAAAAGTGACCCATTTTTCATGTCGTATAAATAATTCATCTTTTTTCAAAAGGTGTGAAAAACACCAGAAATCGGTCAAAACCATGGGCTATAGTCCATGCTTTTTGCCCAAAAATGACCCATTTTTCAAGTGTTATAAATAATTCCTATTTTTTGAAATGGTGTGAAAAACACACAAAATCGGCAAAAACCATGGTCTATAGTCCATGCTTTTTGGCCAAAAATGACCCATTTTTCTAGTATTATAAATAATTCATATTTTTTGAACAGGGGTGAAAAACACCCAAAATCGGTCAAAACCATGGGCTATAATGCATGCTTTTTGGCCAAAAATGATCCATTTTTCATATCGTATAAATAACTCATCTATTTTGAAAAGGTGTGAAAAACACACAAAATCGGTCAAAACCATGGTCTATAGCCCATGCTTATTGGCCAAAAATGACCCATTTTTCATTTCGTATAAATAATTCCTATTTTTTGAAAAGGTGTGAAAAACACCCAAAATCGGTCAAAACCATATGCTATAGTCCATGCTTTTTGCCCAAAAATGACCCATTTTTCAAGTGTTATAAATAATTC